CCTATAAGGTAAAAACGGAGACTCCTGCCCCCACAGGTAACAGTCAGCACATTCCACAGCCCTGAGAATAGCACCTACCAATAAGAAACTTCCAGGGCTGCATCTTATACATCCAATCGGTTTAAAATTATGTTGGCGCGCGCAGGCTCCTTGAACCAACCAAAATGTATCTTTGGTATATCTCCTCCCCTTTGTCTAAAACCTATAAAAGGCTCCACTCTCCTTTACTCTGGGCTCTCAGCACGGATCCGTTGAGTTGGTGAGGTCTGAGAGCCCGAGCTTAAGCCCGAATAAACCATAAACCTTGCTTTTGCATTTTGGTGTGTTGGGTCCTCAGTGGTCTTTTGGGGATCCAGTGGATGAGGTACAACACCTGAAGCATCACTGCCCTGTCCCTTCAGGGAGCTGGGCCACCAGGCTGCCAATTCTTGCTGGGCAGCAGGCCACCACCCCCACCCCCACCCCCGGCACCGTGACAGGAACAGGGTTAGAGGGAGGCGTAGGTGGGGGAAAGTGTAGGGAGCTCCTGCCCAGAGGAATCTAGCAGTTCTCAGAGCAGGGCCAAGCTGAGCCCCCTGCCTGCTGATCCTGCTCACAGGCTGGCCCACCCTGCAGGGCACTGCCAGAGGAGGGGCTCTGTGCTCTGCTAGGGCTAGGGTGCTGCCCCGCACTCAGAGGCACCTAGGTTCCTATCCTACCACTCTGGGGGACCCATCTGCCCAACAGGCCCATCACTGCCAATCCGGCCTCTGCCCCTGGAAGGTCAGGTTTCCACCTGTTTACAGAACTCCCTGACATGTCCTGGCCACCTCATGCTTTTGTCCCATGTGACGTCATTGTCTCTCTACTAGACATGCACCCTCTCTACTGCCCCCACTTGAGCTAGTGACTCACCAAGCATTAGTCCCCAGCCAGGAGCCCGAGTCACCTCCTTGCTCCCCTCACTCCATCAGCACCCACACCCTCCTCTTCCCCTGCACCCTCCAGGTGGCTCCCTCCATCCCTCTCTGCCTCTGCCACTACAAGAACCGTTCTGTTTGTCTCCCCAGCCCCTCTTACCAGCTTGGAGAACACAAATCTGATTTCACAACCTGCTGTGCCATTTTGCTACTGTAAAACAAAAGCGAAGCCCGGCATGGTGGCCACGCCTTTGATCCCAGCACTAGGGAGGCAGAGGCAGGCAGATCTCTGCGAGTTCAAGGCCAATCTGGTCTACATAGTGAGTGCCAGGACCGCTGGGGCTACAGGGAGACCCTGTCTCAAAAAGAAAAGAAAAAAAAAAAGCCAAAAAAACAAAGGCCAATAGCCGAGTGTGGCGGTGCATGCCTTTAACCCCAGCACTTGGGAGGCAGATGGAGGCCAGCCTGGTCTACATAGTGGGTTCCAGGTCAGCTGGGGCTGACCCTGTTTCAAAAAGGGAGATTCTGTTTCAAAAAGACCAAACAACAACAACAACAAGGGCCACAGTCAGGCAAGGCTCTGCACCCTTCTCCCAGCATGCCTCTGCACAGGTCTTGGTCCAGCCACACCAGCCCTGGGGCCTGCCTGCCACCTCTTGCCTCAGACTCTTGCTCACACTGAACTGGCACTTCATTGAGCAGGTGCAGGCTGGGTACAGAGCAAAGGCTGCTGGTTGCAGAGGGAACAGCATATGAGACGGTGGAGAGGAAGCCTGGGGAGGAAGCTCAGAGGACCAGGTATGTGGGAGGGTGCCAGGCAGCAGGGTCGGGGTGGCACTGCCCTGCAGTGGGCTCACTCTGTCTCCTCAGGGACTGGCAACACAAGCACCTGCGTGCTTCCTCCCTGTCAGGGGCCCTTGCTCCCCACAGCTGCCTGCCAGGGGCTGAAATACACTCCAGTTCACCAGAGTTCAACAGAGCACCCGCCAGGTGCCAGGAGTCTGATAGAGATTCTGGAAACAGACTGGCAGGAAGTAACCATCACTGGGGCTCCGAGGCCCTTGATCTTTCCTCCAGCCCACCCTCCTACCCCTGGGAGAGGCCTCTGTCAGTCATCACTTCCTCCAGGAAGTCCTTCCAGACTTCCCTGTGTAGAGGAGGGGCTGCTCCACTCTCCTCCTCTTTCACCAGACTGTGAACCTGGAGAACAGACACATGGGTTTCTAGGCCACAGTAGGCACACAGAAGCTGACAGACAGACGAGGGACAGAGGAAGAGAGCACAGGCCTGTCCTCGGGAGCTGGTGTGTGCAGGCAATTTCACCGTCAGTGGTCCCACCCATGGGGTCACCCTGCCCCAACTCACCCCTAGGAAGCCATCTTTGCTCTTGGTCATGGTTTCAGTGAGCAGAGGCTGGAATCGGGCTTCTATGGTGAGTGTCTCCTCACTGGGGTCAGGGGGCAGCTCCTCCTCCTCATAGCTGGCCACAGGAGTTGACCCTATGGGACAGAGATGGCTGGAGAGGTCCCGCCTTTGGGTTCTAGGCCTCTTTTCACTCAGGATGCCCGTGATTAAGGGAGCCAGGCTTGGAGCCGATAACAATTAATAGTCACTGAAGTAGCAAATTATATGGATGAGTTTTACTTTCACCATAGCCCCAGGAAGCAGATAATGCTATTAGCAATTCCATTTACAAATAAAGTAGAGGCTCAGGAAGATGGAGTAACTTCCCCACTGCCATATAGGAGATCGCAAAGCCAAGCATGTGCTACTCTGAATCCATGATCAGTCATGACACTCCTTTGGGTCTTAGGGGACTGTCAGGGACTCAGTCAAGGGAATCTTAGCAAAGAAAAGCAAGAATTAGTCAGCTGTCTCTGGTGTCATCGAATGAGCATTGGTGGGTGGTGACTAGACCTGCTTTCCCTGCTTGGCCTCCCTGCATGCGGCATGTGGGGCTGCCTGACCTCTCCAGTAGGGCTATGCAAAGCACCTCATTTTCTCCATGCAGATGGAGCCATGATGCAGGGTTAAGGGAGAAAGTGATGACAAACATGAGCCTGTGACAGAATGAAGCAGGCTGGCCCTGTCCTGTGAGCTCTCCAGGATGGATGGAGGTACAGAGGTCATACCCGGTATTTGGCACTAGTGACTGGCTGCCAGGCTGAATGGGCATATCACAGGCAGCTCTCAACCAGAGTCATGCAAAGTACCCAGGCCACCTTCTGACACTGCAGCTGCCTGGAGCCGCCCTCTGCCTACACAGTAGAACTTCCAGGGGCTAGACTCAGGATACGACTCTTTTAATCAGTATTCCACAGCAGCTTGATTGATCAGTATTCCACAGCAGTGATTCCTTGTTTTGTCAAAAGATCACTATTGGGGTGATGGGATGTCTCAGCAAGATGACAGAGCAAGATGGCTCATCAGGTCCAAATGCTTTGCCACAGAAGCCTGACCTGAGTTCTATCACTGGAGCCCACACATGCAGCATGAGAGAAACAAGGAGAGAGACCCTGCCTCAACGAGGCAGATAGAATTGACTCCCAAAAGTTGTCCTCTGACCTCCACATATACACACAACTATGTGTACATGCGTACACACACAATTATAATTTTTTTTGGTCTTTTTTGAGACAGGGTCTCCCTGTAGCCCCAGCTGTCCTGGAACTCACTATGTAGGCCAGGCTGGCCTTGAACTCACAAAGATCCACCTGCCTCTGCCTCCCGAGTGCTGGGATTAAAGGCATGTGCCACCACATCCAACACAATAATAATAATTTAAAATGATCATTATTATTTCTGTATAAGTAAGTCAATGCAGTAAAAAATTATTTATTTATTATTTTTTGGTCTTTTTGAGACAGGGTTTCCCTGTAGCCCCAGCTGGGCTCGCACTTGCTATGCAGACCAGGCTGGTCTTGAACTCACAGAGATCCACCTGCCTCTGCCTCCCAAGTGCTGGGATTAAGGGTGTGTGCCACCATGCCAAACTTTTTATTTTTTAAATTTTTTAAAAAATTATTTTGTATTTTATGCGTACAAGTGTCTTGCCTGAATGTATATAAGTATACTATGTGTGTGCAATGCACATGGAGGCCAGAAAAGGGCCACAGATCCCCTGGAAATGGACTTACAGACAGTCGTTAGCTACCACCATAGGGGTGCTGGGAACTGAGTCCGAGTCCTTTGCAAGAGCAGCCAGTGCTATTAACTGCTGAGCCATCTCTCCAGGCCCCTGTTGTTATTTTTTTTTTGAGACAGAGTCTCAGGCTGGTCTAGAACTTACTATGTAGGCCAGACTGGCCCTAAATTTGTGGTAATATTCCTGGCTTTGCCTTCTGAATGCAGGGACTGTATATGTGCATCACTACTTCTAGCCAATCTAGAAACTGGTGGAAGGGAGAGAGAGAAATATGCAGGTTATTAGTCTGTTCTGCAAGTTCAGTGACTTGTCACAGCAAATTATTAAGAATAACTGGGCCTGGTAGTACAGACCTGTGATCTCAGCTACTCAGAGGCTGAGGCAGGAAGATCAAAGTTTCAAAACTGGCCTGAGCTAGAGTGAACTCAAGGTTAGCCTGGGCTACTTAGTGAGACTATCAAAAAGTTTGGTTCCCAGGGAATGGCTCAGCGGTCAAGAGCACTGGCTGCTCTTGCAGAGGACCCAGTTTTGATTCCCAGCACCCACACAGCAGCTACGAACCTGCAGGAGACACAGATTCAGTTCCCAACACTCATATGGTAGCTCACAACCAACTCTAACTCCAATTTCATGGGATCGGACACCCTCTTCTGGCCTCCTTGGGTACTGCACACACATTATATATATATATATATACAGGCAAAGCACTCACACATAAAAATAAATTAGTTAAGAAATAAAAATAAAAGGAGGCCTGGTGAGACGGCTCCCTGGGTAAAAAGCACTTGCCATTCAAGCTTGATGACCTGAGTCCCATCCCTGGAACCCACAGTGGGAGAGAATGACCCGTGAAATTTATCCTCTGACCTCACCTGCATGCTGTGGCGTGCATGTATCTGCACTTACATACAAACATAAACACACACACCCATGGGAATAGCTCAGTGGAAGAGTGCTTGTCTAGCTTGTGTTTAGCTTAGGTTTAGTCCCTAGTACCCATCTCCCAAATATATAATACTCAGATTAGCTGGATATAGTGGCATATACCTGTAATCCCAGCTACTCAGATGGCTGAGGCAGAGGGACTATAAGGAGTTTGAGGCTATCCTGGAGACATATTGCCTCCCCCGCCTCCCCGCCCACCGAAGGCTGAAGGCTGAGGATATAATTCAATGATTAGAGTACCTGCTTAACTTGTACAAAGCCCTGGGTTTGAGTCCCAGGACCATAAAAC